AAAAAAAAAAAGAATAGACAATTTACCAAAGACGACGTACAGGTGGCCAACAATAGGAAGAAATGTTTATGATCATTAGCAATAAGAGAAATACTAATTAAAACAAGGTATCATGTCACACCAAAACTTTTGGCACTTCCTTAAATAAATGCAAATCCAAGTACTTTGTGATCTAGGATCCCAGTACTGAGCATATACCTTATTTACTCGAGTATAAGCTGAGTTTTTCAGCACATTTTTAATGCTGTTTTTTATTAGGTGCCTCGGGGGATATTCGGGTCGGCTTATACTCACAGACAGACATATATACAATTTCCACAATAGCAAAAACATGAAAACAATGAAAAATCCCAACCATAGAAGAATGGATAAAAGAGCTAGGGTATAGTCATGCTATGACAATGACATGCGTCAATAAAAAGCAAAGATAACCCTCTGAAACACCACGACACAGACAAAACTAGAGAACAGTATGCTTAGCAAACTCAGCCAGTCTTACGAAGCTGAATTACAGCGTTATACAGAAAAACAGAATAAATGTGGTTATGCACAAGATATTGATGACTGTAAGGCGGCCAGGGACAAGGGTAGGAATAGGGTGAGGGGAAGGATGGGAGGGGTGGGGGGGGTTACCAAAAAATGGGAGGGTTAAACAGGGGAAAATAAAATAAAAACAATTAAAGGAAACCCAAACCCTGCAGATTCCCTACCCCTGAGACCTAAATATTGACCCGAGTGGCCAAAAAAGGAGAAAAGTGAAGTGGGCTCGAAGTCTTCAGTGACCTGCCAGTTTCATGTCAGACTGAAGAGCCAAAAGGGTGCCTGCCATGCTTGGGACTGACACCCCCACCCCATGGAAGTCCACTTTCTGAGAGGGCCACGGCGGCTGCATCACCCCAAAACAAGGTTCACCTGCCTCTTAGCTTTCAGTTGAAATGAGCCAGCAACTCAAGCCTCATCCACCCAGATTCTCTGGACTTTGACCTGAGAGGCTGAGCTACTCATCAGCTCCTTCAATAGGACGTAATAGGAGGAGTGCCTGCCTGGGAGGACGGCACTTCAGCCTTGGGGAGAGGCCTCCAGTCCACCCGTGGGAGGGAGACTGCTGAGCTTGGGACTGGGCTTCCAGAAGCAGGCAGTGTGTTGAGTGTGGTGGGCTGGCTCTGGGGGACTCCAGGTGATGCTCACGTTGCCTTCCTATCCATCCTCAGGTGCGTCTCCTTACCGGCATTGGAAGGTACAACGAGATGACATACATATTTGATTTGCTGCATAAGCACCACTACTTTGAGGTGCTGATGAGGAAGAAGTTGGATCCGGTAGGTCTGAAGCTTTAGGAGCACCGGGAGGACTTTGTACTGTTAGCTTTCAGGGTCTCCATTTTTCTCAGGAATAACCCTATCCAGGTGGACCCCTGGTATATCGATGGAAGGAATTGGGGCCACACCCTACACCAGGGGTCCTCAAACTTTTAAAACGGGGCCAGTTCACTGTCCCTCAGACCCGTTGGAGGGGTGGACTAAAGGTTAAAAAAAAAAACTATGAACAAATCCCTATGCACACTGTACGTATCTTATTTTGAAATGTTAAAAAATCCGGGGCAAAAACACCAACAGGCCCGATAAATGTCCTCAGCGGGCCGCATGTGGCCCGCGGGCCCTAGTTTGAGGATGCCTGCCCTACACTGTTGACCCAGTGGCTTAGGGCTAGTTAGCTTCTGACTGCCGACACTGGGTCGTCCAGCTGAGCCTGATGGAGCTTTCTATGACCTATGTAGGCAGCAGGAGAGGGATTTCCATGGGACCATAAAGCAGCTGAGAGAGGACTTGATTGCATAGGCCTGTGCCAGGAGCACCTCGGGGCTCCTTGGGAGGCTTCCCGGGCTCCTGTCTGTCCTCCGCTTGCTGTGACCTGGCATGTCACAAAGACAGCCTCTTTGCAGGTCATTCACCTCGGACACTGCTTTAGCTTAGTTCCCCTCTGAAGAGTGACAAGCCAAGGTATGCTTTTGGCTCTTGGGGATCTGGGCCCAGCATCAGATGACGTCCTTCCGTGCTGGCCCCCGTCAGGAGAGCGCCTGCAGGATGTAGACGGGACCTGGTGTCCTCGTACCTTGAAGCCCCTTGCCACTACCTTTCCCTCCCCAACCCCCACATTTTTAAAATTGTTTTTCAGGCAGTTTTGTTTTTGCATTTAAGTATTCAATTGTTTATTTTTATTACAATTTAACACATATTCAATATGACACTTAGAAAATGGAACACAAAAAAAGTCCTCATGTCTGTCCATTGTCATGTCTGAGCCCCTGCTCAGTTCATACATGTCCCTGTAAACATGTACACATACATAGTTATACATCATAACGAAACATGGTGTGCAGATAAGAACCTTTTTAAAGCTTAACAGTATCATGAGTATTTCTTACGTCACCAGTTATGAGTTATTCTGTTATTTTGCCCTCATTTTGAACATTTGAATTGTTTCACGTTATCTGCTTGCTGTGTGTTGCTCTGCCAATAGGAGTGGGATTGCTAGATGCAAGCACGTGTGCTGTTGGAAGGCAGTGTCTTACTGACCACGTTGGCTAGCAGAGCATGGCTGCTTCCACATCCTCAGGACAGCATGCCGGTCCTGCCTGCCTGAGACCATGTTCTTCCTTCCTGTAGAGTGGCACGCTGAAGACAGCCCTACTTGACTACATCAAGCGCTGCCGCCCCGGGGACAGTGAGAAGCACAACATGATTGCCCTGTGCTTCAGCATGTGCCGGGAGATCGGCGAGAACCACGAGGCGGCTGCATGCATCCAGCTGAAATTGATCGAGTCTCAGCCGTGGGGTGAGCAGAGGTCACAGCAGCAGCCCAGGGCAGTGATGCTCGCCAATGAGGGATCTGAGGACACAGGCAGGAAAGAGCTCAGGAGAATGGATGTTCGAAGCTGGGGTGGATGTTGGTAATACAGCAGGACCCCCGCTGGGTGGCTAGAAGAGGATGGGTCTTGGAAGGCATCTTGTACCTCTTGGGATTCATAGCCTTTGCATCCCCGCTATCACCCCTAAGGAACTGAGACAACAGGTGATGTCCACTGGGAGCCTTCCTTAATGTTTCACAATAGGAGGCACTCTGGAGAGGGCATCAAACTGGGCCAGTAGCCTTTACATGAGACAGACCTGTCTATGCACACAAGCTGGGATCATCGCCGCAGGGGGTGACAACAGCCTTGACTTCCTCTTCTTCCCTGTAGAGGAGAGCCTCAAGGATGGGCACAAGCTGAAGCAGCTGTTGCTGAAAGCCCTGACACTGCTGCTGGATGCTGCTGAGAGCTATGCCAAGGTGACCAGGGAGCCTCACCCCCGAGCAGCCGTGGGGCACGGTGTCTGTTGTAGGAATCCTTTGTCCCTGGGCTCTTCCAAGCTGGGGAGGGGGAGTCGTGGGTCAGCCAGGAGTGCAAATGTTCTGTAGTTTGCTGGTGGATAAACCTGGGGAGGGGTGAGTCCTCTTTCCTGCCTGTCTTCCCCTTCACCCTTTTCCCCAGGACTTCTGCGTGAGACAGGCCCTGCGCTGTCACAAGCTCACCAAGTTGATAACGCTGCAGATTCATTTTCTGAACACTGGCCAGAATACGATGCTCATCAATCTGGGCCGACACAGGCTGATGGACTGTATCATGGCCCTACCTCGGTTCTACCAGGTAAGCAAGAAAGAAAGTGCTAACCAGCACCTTGATGGAGTGACCTGTCCAAGGTCTCCAGTTCTTACAGCCAACCATACCGGCTTTTTGGGGGTAGTGCTTCTCAGTAACATACTTTTTGGACAAAGGTGTTGGAGAGTGAGGACAAGTACTGGCTCATTTTCCCCATGCTGATGCCTTCGCCTTGAGACAGTTGGAAGTGAGGAGCAGCATCCCCTTTCAGTGGTCTTGCAAGGAACTCTTGGCCCCAGGGGTGGAGTGGCTCATCCAGGTTAGCACAGGCTGATGGGAGGCCCATCTAGCCCTTGAACAAAGAGGGTTGGGTGATTAGGGAATCAACCTCTTCAGTTTCCAACAGTGAGCTGGTGTTTCATCAAGCCATTCTCAAGTTTAATGAAGCCATTGTTGGAAGACTAAGAACACTGACAGTGTCTAGGGATATAAAGTCGGGGAAGTGTCCAACCCCAGACTTTTCAGCAACCCTGACGTACGTAGTCTCATCACCTAATTGATAATGACTGCATTCACGGTTCCAAGATAGTACATCCTGGAACACCCTGCCCTCCATTTTACGTCACATAGTTATGACGGTGGTGTTCTTCCCTCCAAAGGCTTCTATTGTGGCCCAGGCCTATGATTTTGCTCCAGATTGGGTTGAAATTCTATACCAACAAGTGATTCTTAAAGGCGATTTTAATTACTTGGAAGAGTTTAAGCAGCAGCAGTTATTAAGAGCCGGCATATTTGAAGAGATATCAAAAAAGTAAGTACTGAATTGACTACAAGCATTTCTCCTTCTGCTTCGAGGTAAGGCATAAGCAAGAATTGTCTGACTCAGAACATCCCATTAGCAGCCCTGTGAGAAGGCAAAGGTATGTTAAGCATACTTTGGTGGAGACCTTAACAAATCTCTACAAACAAGGAATAAGGATTACCTTATGGCACTTGTACTTTAAGATGGGAATATGGCTACTCAATTTGCCCGAGGTGCCCTTTGGAGTCATGAATTTATTCTCTTTGTGGTGAGCATTATGATAATTTTTGCTGAAATGAACTCCATGTTTGGGGGTACCTCTCAGTACTAGTGTGAGACCATTTCCCAGATCCCAGGATCCTTTCAAGACAAGAGCCCTGGTGGGATAGTGGTTACATATTGGCCTGCTAACTGCATGGTCATCAGTTTGAAACCACCAGCTGCTCAAGAGAAAGATGAGGCTTTCTACTCCCACAAAGAATCAGTCTCGGAAACCCACTGGTGCAGTTCTACCTTGTCCTATAGGGTCAGCCTGAACTCAACTGGCTGTGAGGGGGAGTGCCCTCTCTCGGGGCAGTGCCGTGTCAGGGCTAACAGCACTCTGGTTTCAGCAAGGTACAAGATCATAAATCTTAGCTGCACTCTCTTCCATTTCTTTGTCCAGGTATAAACAACATCAGCCTATTGACACGATGGTGAAAAACCTTAAGAAGTTACTCACGTATTGTGAAGATATCTACCTCTATTACAAGTTGGCATATGAGCACAGGTTTTATGATGTTGTAAATGGGCTTCTGAAGGACCCTCAGACAGGCTGCTGTCTGAAAGACATGCTGGCAGGCTAGATGGAGTCAGATGGATGGCAGGAGGGCGGCTGCAGAGGTGCCTTTCCTTGTGCTCACAGGAGCTCTGAGATGCCTGTGAAGCCCTGGGAGATTTGTGAAATCCAAGCTGTTAAATCCGGGGACTGTATGACACCCAAGTCCTTTGTAAGTGGCAGGCTAAGAATGAGATAGACTTTTCATAGTGAACTTCCTACTTAAAAGTGATTGTTCATGTAGGCCTTTTTTTGGTGGCCATTAGTATCAATACCAAAAACGCCATCTTCCTCAGGACAGCTTCTAATGGATTAAAGAATACCTGTGCCTGCAGATTCCACTTTCAAAGGAATTTAATATTTACACAATTAAGGAATGGGTGATACATTTAGAAACCGATCTCTCTATAATAAAATAGAATTTTAAAGCAGTCTACCATTGATCGTAACGTACTCCTTAGCCCTTATCTGCCTTAAAACCATCTTTGTTATAATTATTGCTGGGCTGTTACTGCTGTTTCTTTCTCTAAAATCACTCATATGGCCCTGTCTTCCACTAGTAGCAGTTCATAGAGCTGATTTGAAAATCCTATTTCCTATGTAGGAAAAATTATGACTACCACCCCTCCCCCATATTTTTATTCTGTGATCATTGTAATACAAAGATTACAATAACAAATTTGGTTAAATAGCTTCAGATGTGATTGATAATAAAGGTGGTCACCTTATGCACTTAGGGATGACTAAGTATACATTTATCCCCTCAACATGTCCCTCTGAAGTTATAGGTTCAGTTAACTCCAAATAAATAGCTCTAGATATTTAACTAGGCCATTTGTATTTAAACAAAAAATTATTTCCCCAAATAAATACAAGGCAGGCATCCCTACACCGTTGTTGTTCCTAGGGGTGACATTGACTATTGAAGAACCTATCAAATTACTCCTGTTTTAAAGCGTAGCTATCAGTCAACCATTTGCTGAGTTCAGCAGAGAGTAAGTCCCAAGAGCTGTTCTGTACTCTCAAAAAATACCTCTTGGGAGGTAACACAAAAAATTAAGTCCTCACAATAGTGATTTTATTAAATTAGTTGCTTTATAAAACATTGCAGATGTCATAATTGTTAACGTAACAATTTATACCAAACTGTAGTTATCGGGTGCAGTTTGCTGAGCATGTTTTATAAAGGAAAGGAAAGGAAATGCCAAAACCCTGTTACAGTTGTTCCGTTGCTGCTGCCTAGAAGAAACAAGGATGTCTCAAGATCTAAACCAGGCAATTAAAAACAGGCAGTTTCCCTCCCCCTCCAAAGCACTCCACCCATAGAAATATTCGGATAAATATAATCTAGACAGTCTTTGCACTCGCGATTCCACAACCTGAAATGCAATGGAGAGGTTTTACCTTCTTCAGTTTCAAAGTTGGAGGGTTTTGGTCATTTATTTTTTAAGTATCAAACTAGTGGCTTTTCAGCCGCAGTATCTTCACTCTGAGATAACCAGTCTTCACAACATATTTTTTAATATCCTCAAGCTCAATTTTAAGACAAAGCAATTTTAATACTAGGTGCACACCACATGCCCTTGCTGCAAACTGCTTTTCTTGACAGGTTATGAAGTAGTTCAAGGAGGTATGGTTAAGGCTGTATTACTGAATGGTGCTGGTAAATACTACACAATTTTTTGTCACGTTGCAACCTTGTTTCCAATTTAGTGACTGCTGCTATGGAATCAGATAGCAACAATGACAACATTATTAGGATTTTTTTTTACTATGATTTAGTAGCAACTGAGGTTCCCGATTTTAACCCCTTGGCAGCAAGATCCAAGTTCCCTCATTTGCACATTAGCACCTAAGAGTCAAGGGGTTAAATAACCAGCACAAAAGATACTGCACTTCTGATTGTAGCATTTGGCAGAACTGAAAGGAAAGGAAGTTGTGCTACATGTTGAAGGGATTGTGGGCAACAGAAAGAAGACACCAGGAGAAGGTAAAACGCTGTCACATGAAGTCTTCAAAGTCTTGTATGTACCCTCCGTCATAACCACCATAGTCGGCCAGGTCATCCTTCATGGTCGCCTTTAACCCCCCTCCAGGAACCACACCTTTCTTCTTCTTTTTAGCTTTGCTTTGCTGAAGATAAGAAAGAGTTAATTTGTGAGATTTCATCTGTTCTACGCTTCTTGCTTTGCTGAAGATAAGAGTTAATTTGTGAGATTTCATCTGTTCTAAGCTTCTAACCTGATTAACCACCCTCCCAGAGACACACCTAACCCTCAGGTCCCAGTTCTCTAAGGGAATCCCCAGGCCTACATGCACACGTCTCTAAATGAAGGACATGCATGGCCCCTAGCTTAGTGCAGTCCCATTTAAATGGCCCCGGTCAGTTTCCTGCCTTGAAGTTTCTTAGTTCAGGTTCTTACCATATTTGAGGAAAATAATGTATTGCTTCTGACCTTTCTCAGTATAAAATTTCTGCCCTACCAAAAACCCCACATTAAGGTGAATGCACACTTACCTTTTCTTGCTTCTGTTTTTCACTGCAAAGCACAGTCAAAGAATTGGTAATCTTTTTCAAGTCATCTATTTCCACTAAAAAACAAGGTGGGAGGAGGACATACCACTTGATTTTAATTTACAGAATTTTAGGAATACATTTCTCCCAAAGTGTTTAAAAGTCTAATTTTTTCAGCAGTAACTTTAGAATGACTATGAATTTTTCTTTAAACTTAAGGTGGTAAACAACCATTTTGTCTATGGCTAGTCTCACCAACCAGAACTCACTGTTTTGATTAAAATTGCAAACTCGGTGACAAAAATTTAAATTTGATGACCTATCACCGAGACACCCATCAACTGGGCAAAAGTAAACTTTGAGCATGTCTGTGGTGCTGGCTTTCCCTCTGACCCAGCCTTTGTGGCAGGGAGACGGCCATGCCCTTTCCTAACACACTCCAAAGACGAGCCCCCCAGTACTCCCATCTTCTAGCACAGTAAATAGGATGTCTCTGGAACCTGTGTTATTAATCGGAAAATTAATCTGACTTAAAAGGCTCCCCCAGAGAAGCACACATACTCACATCCATGTGAAAAGGTGAAACTAGAAACACACACACCAGGGTTCAGCTACCAAACTGTTCAGTGCTTTGGTCAGAAAAATTAGTGCTGTGTGGGACAAAAGACGAACTTAGACCATTACTGGTCAAAATCAGAAGTCCCAAGTCAGAGTGATAACTTCTCGGAGAAACCTAATTTCAAATATTTCAAATTGCATAGGATTGATTTGTTTTTCTGACTCCTAAGAACAGAAAACCCTAGCAAAACCAGTCCCCTCACATCCGTGCTGCTTGTTAGGGCTGGTCCCATACACTCTGCCCTGAAAGGCATGCCTCATCCCAGGGCCTGGCCCCATAGCCCCATAGTGGTACCCAGGTGCCAGCTTTAAAATGTATGTACCCAGAATCATTTTCACAAAGCAATAGTTCCTAGACTCTATCAGATATAGAAGGACAAGTAATATACAATCCAACTTTGACAAAATATCTAAAATAGACAAGAGACCGAAGTGTGGCTGTGTGGGGAAGATGGAGCTATTGCGTAATGAGTTTGTTTCTGATGAAGAAATACATATGGAACTGGATAGGGATGACGGTAGCAAAACCCAGTGGTTTAATTATGTCACTTAGAAAGGTTGAAACAGCAAACAACAAACTTTTTGTTACATAATTTTACCACAATAATGAAAAAGGTCAATCAGATAAAAAGAAGCCGGTGTTTTATAAGCTGTTGTGCTGACAAGCCCAGGTGTCTGGGAAGCCATTGTAAAAACAATTAACAAGGCAGCCTCAAAAGGGAAAAAAAAAAAAGCATCAAACCTCACAGCACGTGCAGGACAACATTCCCAAGGAAATTACTAAAGAGCAAATCCCGAGTCTACATTACAGAAGTAAAGTCACTTCCATCCCTCTTAAACGCACCCCTCGAGGGTATGAGAGGTTAGATTTACTTACATGAAATACACACATCTCGAACTAAGGCTTCCAAAAAGCTGGCGTAATATAGTGACTTTTCATATTGTGTAATTTTATCTTTTAGTAACTTTCCGAATTCTGTGAAGTCATCTCTCGAAGATGGGTTCATAGCATCTATTCCAAAAACTGTATTATTAACGCCTATAAGACAAAGGAACATCAACAATGTCAGAAAGTTAAGAGTTTTAACTATCGTAATGAACCTATTTCATTATCAAGCAGGGCCTCCTATGCAGGGTCCACTGGGCCCGGACAGAAATCATGAGGCCTGTGGATATGGCTGAGAACCAAGGTTACATCTACCTCGTTAGAGGTTCACTAACCTCTCATCCAGCATTTCCTTCCACTCATATGACAAGCAAGCACAGTGGTGCGAGCGAAGCTTTTCCCGTATCACACTGTAACTTGTTGCAGGTATCTCAAAGCAGTGTTCAGTCCTTACTTTCAAATTACTTCTTAGATCTTGTTACTTAATGGGTTAAGAAGCCCATAGTACTACATCACACATTTACTTTAAAATTTCAGTATAGGTTTCCTTGCAAATAAAACCCTCTATTTCACTTCATGCATTAAAAAGGGACCCACAGGTTCCATACTGCCAAAGGAGCCCCTAACACAAAAGGGGAAGCCCCCAACACTATGAAAGGCTTGTCCATCGAGTGAATGAAATAGGCAGAGAAGGGGGAAGCGCACAGGAAAGAAAGCTGGTCCTATAAAGTATCAGCTATCACAGAAGCTAAATCCCAAGAGGAAAATTAATCTAATTTAAAAGGGTTCTAAGCTGAGACAGACAAGCTATTGTGTCCTTTCTCAACAGTCAAGTAAATTAGTTAACAGCCACTGATTTTAGTATGAGAAACAACGTTAATTAATCAAACAATGACTACGAATGCATAAGGTGTTTACCTTTTAATCTCTAAGTATACCCTACATATGGCTTTATGTACTTTGCATAAACTCTTTAATAAGCCCTTGGGCAGCTTTTGCCAGCCATGAAGACATGATAATGGTCTCATGTTCCCTAATTTGACGAGTGAGGTATAGAAATGCCACCCGCACAGGGGCACCCACAGCAACTCCAGATTGCTCAGGTCCCATGGAGAGGCTGTTTCTGGGGAGGGGAGTCCACGCCAGCCAGCCTGCTTCATCTGTTTTAGGGAGCAGGAAGGGGGAGTTGGGGCCAGGGTGGGGGAGGACTCGGACTTGGGCTCCAGTTCTTAAGATTTCAATTCTGCAGCCTGTATTCAGGAATACTCAGAGCATTACACATCTGCAGGATCATGAACATGCTGTCTTTTACCTCACTAATCACAGTTGCACTCATAACACAGGAATGGAAGCCCTCTAATGATAGGGCATGGTTAGGGCCAGGCAGGGTTACAGAGTGAGCATGGACAAAAGATGACACAGCGCAGATGTTGCCCAAGTCTTATCCAGATTTTTAAAAAGAAGACATACTGGTACCTACAATTAGTGAATGTGTAAATTTCAAAGCTAGCATACTCAAATTGCACCCAACCGATAGTCAAGGCAAAAATATAAAGTTCACATTATTTAAAACCAGTCATTTCTATCTTAATCTTGATACCCAAAACAATCACTAAAAAAAAAATCTGAAGATGTACCTCACTTTACCGTTTGGTAAATCTCCAGTTTACCAAAGAAGAGATTTAAAATTGCCTTTTAGCAGTGAGTGTGTTTATAGCCATGAGAACGTTAGGGGGTATCCTGGGTGACGGTTATACAATGTGACTTGCTGATTATCACTCAATTGTATACCTGAGAAATGTTGAATTGCAAATGTGATATACATTTTCAGCAATTAAAAAGGAAAATGCTACCTAAGCTAGCTCGTATCATATTTCTTCATGTTTTCTGAGTCTTCCTAGCCAGTGAGACATGCGGCGTTTTTGTCTGGCCTAGGCAATACTGCGCTACAGTAACACATCCATCTTACCAAACGTTTCTTTTGCTAACTCAAGGTCTGCTTCTTCCTGTAACTTCTTTAGTCGCAGTTTGTCTGCTAATTGTTCTTCTGGCGTTAAAACTTTAGGCTCTTCAGGTTCTTCTAACTGCAATCAGACAGGCATGAAGGGTTGATAGGGCAGTGATTTTGATGGGCCTATGACATTTCTGTATTGTATCAAATTTTCAACAGATACATGTAATTACAAATAATAGCAAGCATTTGTACTAACTGCATTTCAGGCATCCTTCTGACCAGTTTATATATATTAATACAGATTGTAAGCCTCATAAAAATTAATGAGGTTGATACGATTTTTTGGGGTCTCAATTTTGCAAATGAAAAAACCAAGGCAAAACATTTAATCTGCGCAAGGTAGTAATACCCACAGGTGATGTAGCAGAGCTGAGATTTAAAGCCAGGAAGACTAAATTAATTCTTTGGCCTTGTTTTTGCCCCTCCAAATAAGGATCAATGTTCACTTTCACCAAGGTGAACATGGTACTCACATACAGCTACTACAACTATAAATTGAAACACCCTAAAGAACAACCACGTCTATAGTGTTCTATATGCTTTAGTCCATCCCATGTCTCTCATGGGCTCCCAGGTTCGAACCTGGCATGTGCACAATGGTCAAACATTAATCCTGGTTCACATAACATATTGTGGGTGTTAAGTATATACCAGTAATTTCAAGTAAATTAAAGATAACTAGATGTCCAAACAGAATAGTTCAATTGTGATACAGCCATACCAGATAGTCTTGTCTACTTATTTTTCATATTGTACTACATGAGCTCTGAAAGGTTGACACAAAACTGGATTACTTGGGGGGAAATGTAATTTTGTAATAGAAGGATCAAGGTGTCATCACACCTTAACCCAGCAATTAATTTTAGCATCATTATTAATAGGACAGATATTACGTAACTCCTAATTGTACTTCAATACGAGGTACGAAGCATCATACATACCTCTTATTATTCTGTCCAAAGGGTTTATTAACCTGACTTGTGTAGAGTCTGATATTGTGGATTTCCGGTACTACTACATGCTCCACCCATGGAGCAACAAGACAAATCCAGAAGTAGGATGTTCGACGAGACAAGGAGTCCTGTCTTTTCAACAGTCAATTCATTTAATAAGAGACTATTCATTATATTAGGTATGATAATGCTATTTTAATCCTGTGAGAAACACCATCTTTTTTTAGAGATGCATAATGAAGTCTAGAGGTAAAATGTCACTATTCTATTTATTTAAAAAATCCCAAAAGGCAAAATATATTAAAATTGTCCAATTTTGGTGATATTTGTATGATTATTCATTGTTATTCTCTCTTGTGCTATCCTTGAAGTTTTTCGTAGTAAAAGCCAAAACATTAACAAAAACTATCTATGGCCTAGGAAGGAAAGAGTCCCATAACATGTTAAATAAAACAAGCGAGATGGAAACCTTAACTCGGTAACAAAGGACAGGAGTAAGAATATACAACTCACTTTGAAGCGACAAAACAAACCAAAATAACCCAACAAACGCCATATTATTGGGTGGAAAGAGAAATAAATGAAGGTTTGACTGAATATTGTTTTAAGTTTGAAATTTGAAAATAAGTATTTTCTATATAAAAAAATAAAGTAAGTTTAATGTTCCTGACTGCTCCACACAACCAAAGAACTTAAACAGCACATGGCAAAACAGAGACACTTCTAAAGCTTCTTGGTTCTGCTTGTGGGGAGTGGGGGAAGCCATCAGAAATTCCATGTTTCAGGATCCACCTATCTGGCGACATCCACTTACAGTCCTCACCAAGCCAAAACCACACTGGGGGTGGGGGGGTGCGCCCCTGAATCATCTTAACAGAGCCCTTCAAATTGTAGCATTCGTTGCCATAAGGCTATCTATGCACCACTACTGAGGGAGAATTCTCTATTTTTAAAATGAAAAGTAGCTACCAAATCAGCTCGGTTTTCAAAGCTGACCCACCCCACCCCACCCCACGGAGAAACCTTTCTTCAGAGGCCCCTGATGGTGCCCTGCCAGCCAACACCTGAGCCATGAACTAACTGTCCAGAGAACACAAGGCTCCAAATACCACTTACCCTCTTTTTAATTTCATCTTGCCTCTTCTTTTGTTGCCGCTCTTTTTCTTTGATCTTCTCTGCTATTTTTTTCTTTTCTGAAACTTTTACTTCTGGAAGTAAAGAAATATCTTAATCACAATAATTAGACTATTTTCCAGTTTACAAATGAGGCAGATATACATATACTTCAAGAGACTAAACCTCTCCCCAGTTCCAATTTTTTTGACCTTGAAATGTTCTTTTAAAAATAGTGTTATTAGCTCCAACTCTTATCACAATCCACACATACATCAATTGTGTATAGCACATTTGTACATTCATTGCCCTCATCATTCTCAAAACATTTGCTCTCCATCTAAGCCCCTGGCATCAGCTCCTCATTTTTCCCCCTCCCAGCTCCCCACTCCCTCATGAACCCTTGATAATTTATTATTATTTTGTCATATCTTGCCCTGTCCCACTTTTCTGTTGTCCATCCCCTAGGGAGGAGGTTATATGTAGATCCTTGTAATTAGTTCCCCCTTTCCAACCCACCCTCCCTCCACCCTCCCAGTATTGCCACTCACACCACTAGTCCTGAAGGGATCATCTGCCCTGGATTCCCTGTGTTCCCAGGTCCTATCTGTACCAGTGTACATCCTCTGGTCTAGCCAGATTTGTAAGGTAGAATTCGGATCATGATAGTTGGGGGGAGCGGGGAGAGGAATAGAGGAAAGCTGTATGTTTCATTGTTGCTACATCGCACCCTGACTGGCTCGTCTCCTCCCCGAGACCCTTCTGTAAGGGGATGTCCAGTGGCCTACAAATGGGCTTTGGGTCTCCACTCCGCACTGCCCGCCTCATTCACATTGATAGGATTTTTTGTTCTGATGATTCCTGATCCCTGACCCCTTTGACACCTCGTGATCGCACAGGCTGGTGTGCTTCGTCCATGTGGGCTTTGTTGCTTCTGACCTAGATGCCTGCTTGTTTACCTTCAAGACTCCCGACGCTGTATCTTTTGAGAGCTGGGCAGCCAGCTCCATTTTTTATGGTGATTTCCTGGAAAAGCCCAGGGACTCTTGCTTTCTCCTTCTAATATGGCCCCTAAAACCCCAGTATTTCTGATTCCTCTAGTTCTTTAAATAGGACTTGGATCATTAAAGCCTAGTTAGGAGGAGGCCATCCTCTCTCTGTCCTCCGTCCTGTTGAGCACTCACACCCAGCACTCAGTGCTCAAGCCAACAAGGCCCCTCGCCATGTTTGGGGGAACAGAGATGCAGTAGAGAACAGAGAAGGTGGGGACAGAAGGACGCTGACTTTCTAAATACCGAAGCTTCCATTTATCTCAGCATTTTGTCATTTGCCCAGATGCTGACCAAGACAGAACACCAAAAATGGAAGAGCCCCTGTGGCTCACCTGTTTTTTCTTCATTTTCTTCTTTTTTTTCCTCATCTTCATCATCCCAGTTATCCTAAAGAAAAAGGCCTGTTAATCTTACATGTTTGCTTTTCCATGTGAACTTTATCATAAGTTACCACACTCCATAAAAAGAAATTCTTGGCACTTTCATTAGGATCGACTTACATTTATAAATTAACATAGGGGAAACTGACATCTTTATAATGATGAGCCATCCTAGCCGAGAGTCAGGGCTGTCTTTCCATTTATTCAAATCTCCTTTGTGTCTTTCAGGACACAAGCTTTCCTCTTGGAGGTTCAAACATTTCTCATTAGGCTTATTCCTAAATATTTATTCTTCAGTCTGGCTATTTTAAATAGAAATGTTCCTACTATGATGTCCTCTGATTATTACTTGTGTAAATTCACTTATTAGTTTTATTCTCTAGTTTTTCAGATATACTATCAAATTATGAGCAAACATCTTAACCAATTCTTATGCCTCGACAATTAAAAAAATCACTTTATTGGAGGCTCTTACAGCTCTTGTCACAATCCATACATCCATCCTGTCAAGCATATTCGTACATAGGTTACCATTTTCTTTCTACTTGAGTGCTTAGTATAAGCTCATTTTTTCCCTCCTTCCCCAACCCGTTCCTCCCTCATGAGTCCTTGAGAAATTATAAATTATTTTCCTATCTTAATATTGTCTGTTTTCTCCCTTCACCCTCTCTTCTGTTGTGTCCCCCCGGGGATGGGTGTTATATGTCAATCATTGTGATCGGTTGTGGCTTTCTCCCACCTTCCCCTTTCCCTTTTGATACAGCTACTCTTATTATTGGTCCCGAGGGGTTTATCTGTCCTGGATTCCCTGTGTTGCAAGCTCTTATCTGTACCAGTGTACATGCTCTGGTCTAGCCTGATTTGTAAGGTAGAATTGGGATCATGATAGTCGGGGGAAGGAAGCATTAAAGAGTTTGAGGGAAGTTGTATGTTTTCATCAATTCTATACTGTACTCTGACTGGTTCGTCTCTTCCGTGTGAGCCTTCTGTGAGGGAAATGTCCAATTATGTACAGATGGGCTTTGGGTCTCCACTCCACCCTCCCCCTCATTCACAGTGATATGAAATTTTTGTTCTGGGTCTTTGATGCCTGATCCCATCGATACCTCATGAGCACACAGGCTGGTGTACTTCTTCCATGTGGGCTTAGTTGCTTCTTAGATAGATGGCCACTTGTTTATCTTCAAGCCTTTAAGAGCCCAGACACTCTTATCTTTTGATAGCCGGGCACCATCAGCTTTCTTCACCACATTTTCTTATAAACCCATTTTGTCTCCAGTGATGTCAGGAAGGTGAGCATCACAGAATGCCGGGTTATTAGAACAAAGTGTTCTTTGTGAGGGAGTACTTGAACAGAGAGCCCAATGTTCATCTGCTGCCATAATACTTAACATATAAGTATATGCACATAGATCTATTTCCCTACTGTTATGTATAAATATATTTACATATGTACATGCCTGTATTTAGACCTCTATAAATGTCCTTTGTCTCCTAGTTCTTTCCTCTATTTACTTTTACTTTTCTCTTGTCCCACTAACATGTTCGGCTTTCATTTGGGTTTCAGTAATTCCTCTTGTCTACAGTGCCCCTGATCAAGCCCCACCAGGCATCCTACACCCTCCTCGCCATCGATTTTAGATCACTTGTTGTTCCCCCTTGTCACTGGGTTTGTTGACATCCCCCTTCCCTTCTCCTGCCTCCCCCTCTCCTGTGTCCCCTGAACCGTGGGTCCCATCAGTTAGTTTTCTCCTCTAGATTGTTTATCCCGCCTATCTTCTCTAGATAGAAATGCAGAAACAATAATAAGCACAAAGAAACAAGAGCAAAACAAAGCAACAAAAGAAAACAAACGAACTAAATACCAACAACAACAAAAGAAAAGCCTATAAATAGTTCTAGGTCTGTTTGTTGAACTTTAGGAGTGTTTTCAGGTGAGTCTGATAAGGTGTCATGCCCTGGCCCCAAGGTCTATTTTGGTATTCTCCAGGGGAATTCATTGCTTTGCTCCCCCTTGCTGCTCTGTTGCACACCCTAGTCTTTTGCCCAGTTTAGTGGGGTCAGATACGGTATGCCTCGACAATTGTTCATAAATTGTTCACCTCTAATACTGTTCATAAAGTGTCAGGCCCTCAACCCCCAAATTTATGTAGTAAAATTAATTGATCTTTTATTGAATTTAGATTTTGAGACAAAGTCTTTTCTTATACCAAGGAATTTTCCCATATTGTCTTCTAGAACCTGTGTGATTTCAGTATTGTTTTGTGTATTTATTTAGATCACGGATCCATTTGGAATTTTATTTTGTGTATGGTATGAAATATGGGTTTAATTTTATCTTTTTCCAAATGGCTCCCCAGTTGTCACAGCACCATTAAAAAGCCTGTCTCTACTCTGTGATTTATTATATGCCCAACTTCCCGACATACTTGTGTTTTTCTAGACTCTATTTTGTTCTTTTTTTTCTTCCTCCTAGTTTGTTCGATCCCACTGATCTGTTTGTCTGCTCATAGGCCAGTGCAATACTCTTATTAATTACAGGGACTCTGAGAGTCAGTTTAATGTCTGCTAGGACTTGCCCCACTTCGTAGGTTTTTCAAGGTTTCCAGTGTTTTTCTGGCCATTTTTGCATTTTTGTTTTTCCACACAAACTTTTAACTCCACGCAGAAAAAAAAAAAAAAAGTGGCCAGGCAAAAACAACAAACCTCTCATAAAATAATAGTTGTGTTAAATTAAAAATTTGAACAGCCTGTACACTTCTTACTTTCCCAAATGTGAAATTGAATGAACCTAATCTTTAAGTGATCAGCCAACAGCCAATCAAAATCCTCATGGAAACTACTCTGAAGTACATAAGTCATGTTCTTCAGAGCTACACCTATTTGTAAGTGTCAGCCAGCACCTCCTAAGCTAAAAATAAACCAAACCAAAGTCTTTTGTAAGACTCCACAGATTTTGGGAAGGTCAAGCCTATTTGGATAGACACTCGTATAGCTGTGTGTGTGAGCAGGACTCGTGTCTATGAGCAGCCTGGCAACTGTCTCAGCAACCACCAGCTCGCCATGACAGCATCTGAAGCCAAGCCACGGGATGCCACACACAAACCCACGAGGCCCGGAGGAAGTGGCAGAGGCTGACTAAGGTGCTACAAGTATGACACCGAGTTTCTGGTTTTTTTACAAGATGGATCTTAGGTATGAATGTATAGGTAGATAAACTAATCACGTATTCTTAAACCTTTTAAATCCACCAAAGAAATTAAAAATTCCTGTGAACACCCAGTGTTCAGAAGGCTGTGATGACAGTGGAAGCCCAAAGTCTAGCAGGGTCCCCGCATGGATTAAACCTCCGGTGAAACCCCTCTGACCACAGTCCAGGTACAGGTATGGGAACAGCCCTGCTATCAGACAGAGAGCATTGTGAAGTTGATCATAGCAGATATAGTTAGGTTAAAATGTATACCTATCATTTGATGTTTCCTTTGGACCATTTTAAAGTTGTTCTGGTTTTTAAGGTGTTCTGCTCTTTTGGGTTGAGGTTTTTCTTTGTTGTGTCTGGTCATTGCTGTTGGGTTGGGTTTGGTTTTTGGTAGGTGGAGGGATGTCTTTGTTTTTGTTTGCTTGCTTGCTTCCTGTTTGTATTTTGTGCGATTAACTGTACATGAAATCCAGGATTGGGAGATCTATCGAGGCGGTCACTGGACTGATCATTGCCTAGCAGCATGGCAAGGGAAGATGGGGAAGTGGGGAGCTAACCACAATGAGTATGAGAAGAAAAGGTGAAATTGATTGTGGTGGTGTTTGCACAAATCTTCTTAATCTGATAACATGGTTGAAATGTGAAGCATATGCCAATAAAACTTTAAAAAGAAACACACACACAAAAAGAAATTTAAAATTCCATTTAAAAGTCCTGATGAACCAAATAAGATGATTTTTAAAAAAATAAATAAAAGTCCTGATGAAGGCTGCACAGATCAGCTTCCAAGGATTCTGTAGGGGAGAGCTTTATGTAAAAGTCTACAAAACATTTACGCCTACATTTTATGATCACCTTTCTTTGGCAGTTCAACCCACAGTTCCTAACAGATTTAAAGTAAATCAGCTTGTCATTTGGACATCTAAGGGACCGAAGTTACAAATTAGAGATCAAATGTTTATATTATCTTGCAGGGTTAGATCAATATATCACAGCACAAAAGGAACCAGAGAGCTAAAAATACAAGTTAGCTACTAGGCGTGTTTGTTGTTCTTAATCTTCACAGAACACAGGCTGGCTGGGTCTGTGAGTGATACACTGTTTAGGCAGTATTTCAGATAGGCCGGCCAGCTGCTTGCTTCTGACTCATGACAACCCCACAGGTGCCCAGCAGAACTGGCCTAGAGACCACTAGACCTCATTTTAAGGGGCCTCTGGATGGGTTCAAACCACTTACCTTCCAACTAGGAGTTGATTGCCTCAATCTTTGTACTCCCCAGGGACTTGGCTCTGCTAATAAAAATCCCAAAACCCAAACCTGTGTCCACCAAGTCAGTTCTGACACACAGTGACCCTGTAAGACAAAACACTTCCCCACGGGTTTCCAAGGCTGTAATCTTTACAGAAGGATACCACATCTTTCTCCCAGGGGCCTTCTGGTGCCACCTGGGTTCCTTCTAATAACAATACGAGGGAGGAGAGGTAATCAAATAGTTAGTTGAGAGCTTACTTTGCACTAGGCATTCCCAAGGAGCCCTTAGTGGTGCAGTGAAGTGTTTGACTGCTAACCGAAAGTTTGGTGGTTTGAACCCACAGTCCCTCTACAAGAGGGCAAGCCTGGTGGTTTACTTCTATAAAGGTTAAAGCCTAAGCAACCCTAGGGGGGGCTGTTATGAGTCACTGTGAATTGGAGGCTGCTTGGTGGCACACAACAAGCAAGCTAATCCTCACAATCATCCTGAAAGTAGGGTGTCTGCCCGTTATACAAATATGGAAACTGAGGCCCAGAGATAACTATTCCAGTCTCA